AGTAATAGTAATAATAGTAATAATAGTAATAATAGTAATAATAGTAATAATAAAGCACTAGGCATGTTCGCTTCTACTATGTATATTGAACCCTTCTCTTCCACACAAGGTTGAGTGCACTTTCCTTCTCCTTAACGTTCTGCTTCCAAACAAACTGCCCCTCCCAGCTCAAACTTTCTCAAACTGTACCCAGATTGTTAAAATGCTTTCTTTTGTTCAACTTTCTCATGTCCTTAAGCTATGTGTCAAATACACGAAGGTAAAAAACATTAAGAAAAGCATCCACCCAGTGAGATAAACAAGACCATAGACAGTTTTCCCTTTGGTATGCCTGTTGAAACTGGTATTAGATAAACAGTCCTTGCTAATCATTAAAAAGCTCACAAAGGCTATAGAAACTAATCAGCTGCTGCCTTCCTTTTTAGAGTTGATAGAGGGAGAGTTCCTCTCCTTAAAAGAGACGTAACACACACAGAAAGATCCCTTACCTTGATGCTGAAAAAGGAGCAAGCATGTAGCAAGGAAGAGAGATTTGATCATTTTGGGGCCGTTTGGGTAGATGACTAGGAAGCCCTTTGATTCCAGGTACGTAATGACTCGACTGGAACCGTCCTCTTCTCCCGAGAGTGTGGCGCAAAGAATGAGTCCTTCAGCTTTATTCCTGTTCGTACATGAGGAAGTGTTTACCGAAGGTGTTGCACAACTTCCAAGTTACAACAGTGCCACTGCAGGGCAGAACTTCAAGCTGACTTCAAGTAGTGTCATTCAAAGGATGACAGATGAAAGCCGCCCTTCACGCCGTTCCCAAAGTGAAAGTCCAAGCATGGAAATCATGAGCTGCCACTGGGATATAACTGGCCCCGGGGGTGAGGGCAAGGGGTCCTGTGCCCTCTGCCCTCAAGGTCTGGGGTAAGATATCCTCCCTAGGAGGTCCACAACCTCCTTGTGTTTGAACTTGAGGTTTATAAAGGTAAGCATAGTCAAAAGTTTGTAAAATCTTACTCTTTTGTTTTTCAGTGAAAAGGGTTTCCAAGCATCAAGAAAGGAGGGGGGGCAACAGAGAGATTCTGTTCCTATAATATTCTGAGAATAACACATGCTGCAATGGCAGTATAGCAATGTTCAGATCAGGACAGCTTTCATAGTGGGATGCAGCACCTGTGGCAGTGCTGTTTATTCACGAGAAACAAGCAGCCAAGGTGCTTCCTGAAATTTAAAGTTGGCTGTTATTGTGGCATCAACTGAAGAGTAGACACATCTGGATCCAGAGCTTGGAAGAACTACCAGGAGTCAGAGGCAGAAAAGTTATAATAATAAAGCATCTTGTGTTCTTTTGCTAATAGGGGGGATTCTAGGAGTACTTTCCCCATCTATGCATCTGAGCAGAACAAAGTATCTCAAACCTATGCCATAACCCAGGGGTCTCCAAGCTACGGCCCGTGGGCTATATCTGGCCCATTTTGCCTTTTTATCCGGCCCAGCAGATGGGTGGGCTGGCAGGTGTGCACACGCATGGGTGTGCAGGTGTGTATGTGTGTAGGCACGGGGGCACTGGGGCAGGCCAGGTGGTCAGGTGGGAGTGCGTGCATGTGTGCATCTTCCTTCAGCCCTCAAAACTGTCAAGCATCGATGACATGGACCTCCTGCTCAAAAGTTTAGAGACCCCTGCCATAACCCATCAGTTAATCCACAACAAAGCTTGGAAACAAAGCTTAGAGAAAGCTTGATAGAGCTCAAAAAATTTACTTCGTTGGACTACACTACCTAGAAACCCCCTTGTTATCAAAGAGTCTCTACTGCTATTATTCTTCTGCATCAGATTCTTTTCCTGCAGCTTGTTCTCTGTTTTGCTTATTTGTTCAAAGAGTGATTTAAGTTTCTGTTGATGTACGCTGATCAGTTTGGAGGGAGAGGAAAGGACATGAGAAATAAGCATGTGTCTAGGCAAGGAAAACAATGAATCATTTCAGCTGCCTCAAGATGGGACACACACACACACACACACAAAGATGTATTCCCTCTTTTGTTTCCATCTTCAGTAACAACTCTGGGTGTTCAGGAGCAGGATGAGAATTAAGATGGGTGAGGAAGAACGAGGGGCATCCATAACATAAAAAGGTGAGGAAAAAAAACCTTCAAAGAATGGATAAAAAATTAAATGATGCCACTTAATATTAGGTCTGCAAGGTTTAAATGGTACAGGAGACAAGCTGTTTTGTTCAAGTTTAATACAAAATTAAGTTTTTAAAGAAAGATTAATAACATTGGCAGCAATGTTGTGGATACTCATTTCGGAATGAGCTGAATTTAATCCCATTACTTACATCTGAGAAATTACGGCTTAGGGTTTGCTAATACATTGGGGGGGGGTGTTTGGGGACAAAATAAAATTTATTTTATTAATCAGTCTCAAACCTTTGCCATGTTTATGCTAGGCATGGAGGCCAGTGGGAAAACCTCCATCAATGTATCCAGAAGATGAATTCTTGTACTGCCAGACAGGACGAGAGTAACTATGGAACTTTCTGCTGCATGTACCAGAGTAACTCTGAATTACTTTGGGGACAGGCATTATTGCTCCACATCAGACCTCAGGCAGCATAATTTTTTGGACTAACTCTAACTGCTCAACCTACAGTGTGAGGCTCTTTGAAGACATAACTAGAGACAAGTTGCATTGCCTTGTCTTGTCCTGTTCTTTCCAGTTTTCAGTTGAAGTGGTTGAAACCGGTCCTAAATATATTGCAAGTTATGGGCTTCTCTCCTCAAGCAATATTGAGCATGAAATGGGATGAAGCGAAATCAGCCCTTAAACAGAGATTAATGGACATGGAGAGACAGGTGGATCTCAATAGATGTCCCAATTTTAGAGTGACAGACATTCATAAATATCACCCACTCCCCATGGCCTACCTATCGCAGCTTGAAATGCATACATTTAAGAAAGCCTTTACTCTGGCTAGATGTGAGGCTTTTCCTTCTGTGGTTTTGGAAGGTAGATTTAAGAAGATCCCGAGGGAACAGAAACTCTGCCCTCATGGATCTGACAAGATAGAATCTATTGAAGATATGTAATAGGCACAACAAGATCCAAGGCAAATATATTACACCTCTCCTAAAAGATATGGTAGGTCAATCGGACTTGGATTACTGTAACCAATTGTTAATTGATCAAAATCGGACTACTACGGAACTGGTAGCAAAATTTTGGGCGGCATGCCATAATAGCCAGAATAGATAGCCAAACTCTTAGACCCTGGTATTATATTGCTATATTTGTTGTTTCAGATATTTTACTTCTTGTTTGTCCGGTCTGGCTTCTTGAAGTTTGTGCCAGTTCTTAAAGTTTTCAATTTTGTCTTATGTATGGCTTGATGCCGTAACAATAAAATATGTATGTCCTGTTCTTTTTAATAAAAAAAATCTGCCAACAGCTGTGAGCCACAATGGTGTAGTGCAGGGATACTCAACCTCCGATCCGCAGGCCAGTCCCGATCCATGGCCTTGCCAGGACTGGGCCACAGAGACAAATCATCTGCTCTGCGCAGATGCAGATGCATGTAAGCTCATGGCCCCTCCCACAGCCCTGCCCCACCCCCCACACACAGCCCCTCCCATGGCCCCGCCCATGCATGCAGTGAAGCACACACAGCCCCTCCAACGGACACATGGCATCAGTAAGAGCCGTTAGCTTTAGGAAAAAAGCCGCTTCTCTTCAGGCCAAACACACCCAGCTCTTTCCAGTGTTTTTCATAGACTCGACTGAATTTCATATCCATAGCACTGCAAAATCAGTCAGGAAGTTAAGTTCTGTTCCACTTTGAGATCAGAACATTGCATATAGGAAGGTACAAACATCCAATTCCTTAAGCATCTAAGCAAAATAAGTGTTTTTTAAAAAAAGAGTTTGCACATTTATGGCATATACAGATATCAAAAGAGATATGGATGTGTATACAGAGAGAGGGATTCAGGAAGAGTTCCATGAGAGTAAAGTTAGATCAATTCCCATGGAAGTTTTGAACTCTTCCATTTGTTAGCTTATCTCAAAAGACAAAACAAAGCCAATACTCATCTCTTTCTATATCCACTATTGTGCCTTACCCTTGTCAAGTGAAAAGTCATGAGGAATCACCAACTTAATGAATAGATTACTGGATGTCTGTTGGTCTTTCGTCCACAGAGGGGAAGAAGGACAATTGATTTTGCATCTCCAGAGATGTAACCCTGATAACCATCACACCTCCGGCTGACCTTCCAACCTGCTTTCCCTCTAACAGATGTGTGTGCTGTTACCTGCCATCCAGTCGCCTCCGACTTAGGGCAGCTTTTTTGGACGAGCGCGCTCCAAAATCTCCTGTTCTCAACAGGATTTCTTGGCTCTTCTGGAAGAGTTCACTTGGTTTTTTCTCGTTTGTTTCTCTCCTCTTTGCACTGAGTATCGTAATGGTTCTCTCTTTGAGTTCAGTGACACATGGAAAAAACTGTTTTGGAATCAGGCTCAGCATATTTGAAATTGATTTTAAGAATTCCAACTGCATAATGCACAGGGAAGCATGGATATTTTTTTGATTTTTTAAAAAAAATTTTGCCTAGGAAGCATGTTTGGGAGATGAAATGCAAGGTATTGTACTCAGCGGTGAAAAGGTCATTTATTTGAAGTTGCTTGTGAAGTTGATTTATTTTGAGTTGTTTTGGCATGTGTGAGCACCTCTGTTGGTGTACATTGTGTCTGAATCCTTTGCCGCTCGCTAGTGTGCCTTCCTTCTTGCCTGCCTGGGCTTCCACTTCTCCTCCACCCCCTGTCTGTGTGTATGTGTGTCTCCCTCCTTCACCAGTCTAGAAGCTGCCAATCTAATCAATGTGTCTGGTCAGTTTTGGTTCTTTCCCACATTTGCCACTCCTTCTGTATGAGTGTGTCCATTGGACTGCTGGGAAACATCTAAGCAAGCAAGCAAGCAAGCAAGCAAGCAAGCAAGCAAGCAAGCAAGCAAGCAAGCAAGCAAGCAAGCAAGCAAGCAAGCAAGCAAGCAAGCAAGCAAGCAAGTAAGTAAGTAAGTAAGTAAACAGACAGAAGCACGTGCACACACACACACACACACATGCATGCATACATACATAAAGATAAAGTTGTGTCCGACTCCAGGTTGCGGTGCTCATCCCTGTCTCCAAGCCATAGAGCCAGCATTTGTCCATAGACAGTTTTCCATGGTCACGGGGCCAGCGCGAGTTGACACAGCACGCCGTGACCTTCCCACCGAGGTGGTACCTATTTATTGACTGGCATTTTTTACATGGTTTCAAACGGCTAGGTTGGCAGGAGCTGGGACAAGGGATGGGAGCTCATTCTGTCACCTGGATTCGATCTTACAACGGCTGGTCTTCCGACCTTGCAGCCCCATCAGTTGCCGGTAATTTGAGGATCGCTGAGTCATACATACATACATACATACATACATACATACATACATACATACATACATACATACATACATACATACATACATACATACATACATACATACATACATACATACATACAATAACACCTCAGCAGCACCAGCTAGTGGCTGTGAGAAGCAATCAGTGTGAAGGCAAGCAGGATGATGCAGGACAAATGCTCAAATGCAACAATTCTAAAAGCCCACATAGCCCCTTCAATTGAGATACAACACAGTTTAAAAACAGATTAAAAGTTTTCCTAAGTGAACGCACACACCAATTCAAAAACCACCTGACTACCATATGACT